TGAGTATGAAAGTTCCTACCATAGTGGAAGAAGCCCGGCAAGCATTGCAGGCAGGATATTGTGTGGTCATTGGTCTCCAGTCCACTGGAGAGGTTTGTTTTCTCTTCCTCTCCAGTTTTTTTCGTATGGGTTACAATTTCTGATAACATAAACATTCCTTAATTCAACGGTAGCCAGTTTTAGTTTTAAAACGTGGTGTTTGAGACACTGAGAATTTCTTGCAAAGTTAGTAGAAAGTACGTACCAAATAATTGTTCGCCCCTCACATTTTAGGTTCCATAGGTAGATGCACTTGATGCAAAGTTATCGCTGCTAGTATTTTATCTTTCTTCAAAGGACGTATGTACGATCAAGTCAGTATTTCTGTCGGACAATACAAAAAAAAAATGGTTGAAATCGTTGGAGGGCTTACTGTGTTTAACTCTGTACAGAATAATTCACTGAACGTATCATAACTTCCACCTGTTCATAGCCTGTGTACAGCTGCACTCTCCCCTTAGAAAAAATCGGAGAAGGGGCCCCTGTACACGGACCACATTTTCGCTGCATTAATGTTAGTTTGTTGGCGCAACAATCCACCTGTGTTTAGGCGGATTTTGCTCATCTGGATTGTGATAGTCCAGTCTATTAATTTTGTCCAGAAGTTATGGTAGACCACAATTCACTAGACTGCATATAGTACATGGACTAGTTTTGTTAATTTTAACCAGGCATTGCCCCATGACCGACTCGTATTTGCAACTCCGGCTTTGTGTCTTGAGGCGCAAAGTAGATGATCTAGTAAATAGGGAGCTTAAACAACGACTGCAATGGCAACGAGAACGGCAAGAAGCAATAGGTTTAGATTAACCGCGGCAGGATTAGCTCAGTCAGTAGAGCGCTTGACTGCAGAGCGGGAGGTAGCGAGTTCGATTCGCGGGGCCGAACCAATACTCAGGGTCTTAAAATAACTGAAAAATGAAGGTACTTCCTTTGCTCTGCAAGCGGCGAGACCTTCGCGTTGCTCAGATGACCACGTGAAATGGCGGTCCCGTCTCCATTAGGAGACGTAAAAATAGCGTCCCCAATTAGCACTTTCGTGCTAAATACATTGACACTTTTAGCAATACAATAACTTTGCACATAAATCACGCTTTTTTGTAGAATTGCACGTTTCCTGGAGGACGTGAACACAACAAAACCATCTTTTTTTTCACTGACTAAGAAACCTTGGACTCCCAGAAAATTTACCAACATTTGCCTTCAACGACATGGAGTAACAGCGATGAATTTTTGAAACGGCGTAAACTACATTCACTTTTTAGGAGACGTTTTGGCTACCACCGTCGTCATTGCTGATACTCCCTAATGATCATGAGTTAGTGGGTGCTTGAATTTAGGGTTTGGCTTGTGAAGCAGTGTGTCGCTAAAGGGTGTGGTCATCATTTCATTTGTCAGGCAAGTTTGGAAAGTGAAATATCACGTTGTGGTGGAATACTGAATGGCTTTGTCTCAAGTACAGAAGAAATCATCAGCAGGTTTATCACGCAGTATTTTCCAACTCAGATAATCAAATCGGTGAGTAATTCTGAAGAACTCTGCTTAGCTGGTGGGATCTAGCTCACGCGAGTGCTCAATTACACGAGCGCTTTGGTTTTGGCTTTGAAGATGACGAAGATCTTTTATTTCCCGTAGCGACTTCAGCGTCGCCGAACAATGTTCATGCGCTTTGATCCCACCAGCTACGCAGGCTAATCTCAAGGATGATACATCACACAACCAATGGATAATTTTTTAACATTAATACACTTTCTGCGTTTCACATCTCAAAGATTTGATTGTGCTTCTCCTGTTGTAATTCATAAGCCACTGAAGTCCAGTCTAATAGTCTTGTTTTCGTTTTGAACTATGTTAAGTAAATAAAAAAGAAAAAAAATTCAAGGCTTTTGTTTATTTGTGTAGAACGGCGATGTTGTTGAAGATCAGTGGAGTGTTCAGGCTAAAAATCTTCTTCAAGGTTTTGTCAAGAAAATTAATCTTCCAGTCAGGTTTGTATGAATGTTAAGTTCTTTAACCCCCTTTAAAGGGGCCATGGCATGAGAAAATTGCTGTTTTCGGTCAATTCATTACTTCTTGCCCTTACCTATTGAGTATATACAAACAAATTTTTAATCATAGAGCACTAACCACAAATTTTTTGGGTGACTGTTACAGGCATAGCATTAAAACTTGAACAATATGGTACAACGTTTTCAAGTTTAAATCCATGCCGATTCTTGCCATCCGTTGCAACAGACGACAGAAACCAGTTTCAGTGGTTAAAATATTCTAAAATAACAAATTTGCCGCCTTATTTTTGGGATTAATCCTGGGTGGGGATGGAAAGGATCCTGTTATGGACTACCATACACTGTCTCACTCCACCCAGGTGTATAAATTTGGGTACCAAAAGATTTAATCCTGGGTGGAGGTGGGAGGGATCCTGTTATGGACTACAATATACTGTCTCACTCCAGCCAGGTGTATAAATTTGGGTACCAAAAGATTTAATCCTGGGTGGAGGTGGGAGGGATCCTGTTATTGACTACTATCCCGTCCAAGGAAGAGCAAAAATATTCCTAGTCGCTTCATGCTATGGAGATCGGAATGTGCTACGGCCAAATGGGCTACCTGGCTCGAACGCAGACTTTACCTTCGTACCTTTGTGACTTATTTTTGTCTCTAGTCCTCTTGATGACCTTATAAACCAGCTCGGAGGACCAGGAAAAGTAGCAGAAATGACAGGCAGGCGTGGTCGCGTGGTAAAAACTGACAAGCAGCCTCAACCTCATTACGAGGCTCGAGAATCAGACAGCAGCAATGTGGATAGTTTGAATATTCAAGAGGTGAGCAAAGTAATCAGAACTAAATCTTGCGCCGTGTTCTGAATAAAATGGTAGAAAACGCGATTTACAGTCGGTAATTACAGTCATCAGCACAGACGTCATCCTCGGCAAGACCCTGGAGCAGGCAGCCAGGTCGAAAACTTTCGTCGCACGACTCGTCGCACCGTTTCTGCCGACCTGACTGACTGCCCTGGTCTCCGAGGATGAACTCTGCCTTGTCCCTTACATTTAAAAACAGGACCGTCGTTTCAGCGCGAGAAAGACAGCCTAGTGCTTGTGTTTGTTAGTTGTTCCTGGGATTACAAGTTTTCAAGTGTAGTCCAAACTTAAAGTCTTACTCTAAATCTGAACTCTTATGCCTTAAATTCAGGTAGCAACTAAGTCGGCATAAAGCAATTGCTTGAAGCTCAAGAACTGTCTCTTTAAATACCACAGTTTTTAGAGAGTTGTTTGAGTATATCTGAACATTCAACGTTGTTTTTTCGATTGCTTTGTCTCACAGAGGAACAGTTTTATGAATGGAACAAAACTTGTTGCCATCATATCTGATGCCGCCAGCACTGGTAGGTTCCCTTTGTTCCTTGATTCGTTTGAAGTTACCTGGATTAAACATTGCACTTTTTAAATTCTTTTAATACTTGAAATTTGAGGCAACCTTGAAGTTATTTTCACACAAAGAATCGCTGGCTCAGTGTCTGTTAGCGTTCAATTGAGTTGCCATTACTTGGAATTTCGTGTAGAGACTTGAAATTTAGAGTGATGTTTCTTGACTTAAAGTTCTACTCAAGCAGGAATAAAAGGTTTTCCTCGGGTAAAAGGAACCGCAATAAATAACGTGTATAAGTGACAAAACAAGACGATAATTTACTTGGGGTCGTATACCACCTGGTACATCGACTGTTTTCCAAATGATTTAATATTACAATATTCTGTGTGATATCATTTGTAAGAGTCATTGAATTACACAGGTATCTCGTTACACGCGGATGTCCGAGCAGCCAATCAGTGCCGCCGTGTTCATGTGACCATTGAGCTGCCTTGGAGTGCTGACAAAGCTGTTCAGCAACTGGGAAGATCACACCGGTCAAACCAGACAAGGTACATGCACTGCCCAAACACAAACATTCCTATCCCTTTGATATAAGCTATTTCCTAAAGAAGAAGGAAATGGTTGCGCGCTGCACGTTTACCATTTTTTAATTGTACCTCCGCTTGATTAGCCTTGTTGGAAGGGTAGCGTTCTGCCAAGCAGGTTTAAACCCGCCGTTTAAACCCAACACCAACCAGGGTCTTCAAAAAACTGATCATATCATGCTGCCTGTTATCTAAGATCTTGTCGCAGTCCAGATGATCTGATAGTCACGTCAGTGGGCGGTGATGTTAATCCATTGGCCTTGTCTTATTCATCCTTTCTTAACAATTCGAAGGGGACGTAAAAGAACCCACACTGCTGTTGGAGAAGAGAGAGAGGTAGACCTCTGTGGTGTGGTTTATCTCTCACGTGGAAGGAACTGTCACGGGGCACAATACTTGGCTTCACGCTTTTGCGGTTACCCTGCCAAGAATTGGACAGTCTAGTAAAACAAAAAAATAAAATTCCTTGTGATTAAAAAAAAATCTTAAGGCTTTCTTGGAATATCACTACTTCCATAATATCCTGTGTACAGCCGCCTTCTCCCTTGGGAAAAATCGGGGAAAAGGGAGGGGCGGCTTTACGCAGGCTACTCCCTTGATCACTTTTTCTTTCGCCAAAATCCCCTTTGTACCATGGGAGTCAGAGGAGGGAGATATCACGTGATAATGTTCACCGTCTAATTGGCGCGCCTGGGGGGCTCCGCTTTTCTCCAGAGTTTTACTGGCTCTAATGTTTTTCTTTGTTTTGTTTTGTTTTTTTAGTGGACCTATCTATAAACTTGTAACAACAAACTTGGGCGGTGAAAGAAGATTTGCTGCGGCTGTGGCTCGACGGCTTCAGTCGTTAGGTAATGTTTAAATGTTTGTCAAACTCGGAAAATCGTGAACATCTGACGTATTTGTGAATTATTCTCACTCAGTTGCAAGGAAAAAGCTAATCAGACATAAAAACAAAGAACCTGCAAGTATCAGCGGTAATTAGTTTGAGAAAGATGATTTTCAAGTCTGACACAGGCGGCTCGAAATGAAAAAGTTCGAGTACACCCATCCAACAGGAGTTAAAACTTTGATCATCTGTTTACTAGCCCGGCCAGATGCTCTACCACTAAGCTACAGGGGTCACGTGGGAGCTAAGGTCACTAAACTAGGTCCATGTGGCAAACATCCTGCATACTTCTAGGACTAAAATGTCGATATGTACTGATGCAATATGATAAAAGATGTGATGGCAGGGTGCAAAGAAAATCATTTTTATAGCTTGCCATTCGGGAAGCTGAAGCTAGCATTTACTAGCCCAGACATCATTTTAACTAGCCCCAAAAGCTTTTTGACGAGCAGAATTGATTTCACAGTTCTTCCTTTATCCGAATTGCTCAAAAAACATCACTTGCTTATCGGGCAAGTTAAAAAGAGAATTCACTAGCCTGATAACAAAATTCACTTGCCCCGAGCTATCGGACACTACTTTCTTTGCACTCTGGATGGTGAATTTTGAGCCTGGTGAATACATGAGAAATATGATTTTTCAGTCAGTGACACAGGCGGCTTGGAAGAAAAACATCCGATTACTCCCAGTAGGCGGTCAAACTTATAACATTCTGGTTACTAGTCCAGATGCTCTACCACTGAGCCACAGGAGAAGTTTTGGAGCTAAGTTCATGTGCAAGCATCCTGTATGTAATACTGCTAGATTGTCTAGAACTAATCCTAGCAGAATACAGTCGAAGCTCTCCATGCGACCACTCTCGTGGTCTAGTTACGACCACCTTTGTGAAACCCCGTTTGGACAGTGACTTAAACAATTTAGTGAAAAAGCTCTTGTTAGCGACCACTCCAGTAAGCGGCCGTGAACGCTTTTGGGATTACCCAAATGGACGGGGTGGTCGCTTACGAGAGCTTCGACTGTATCTAGAACGTTCTTATCCTAGCAGTATGCTGGATGTTTGTCACGTGAACCTAGTTTAGTGGCCTTAATCATTTGTAGCTCAGTGGTAGAGCATCTGGACTGGTAGCCAGAAAGTCATAGGTTTTCTTTTGTTTTCCCAGCCAAGAGCATCAATCCATTCAACTAAACAGCCTTGACAGAGCCCCTTTAAGTTTTTGTTTTGTTTGCCTGCAGGTGCACTTACCAAAGGTGACAGACGAGCAGCGACTGGGGCCGACTTAACGCAGTTTAATTTTGACACGCCTTACGGCCGATCTGCACTCAGGAACATGTACCAAGCCATTACTTTGGTATGTCAGATAGCCTGTTTCGGGATAAAAGATAATAGCGTAGTAACTAGCTAAATTGTTTTTTTATTCTCGATATTTTTGACCAACTAGTTGGATTTTACTAAAACAATTATTCCTCTCGCCCTCATGGCCTCTTAGCCAATAGCCCATTCGGTCTTCGGCCTCATGGGCTATTGACTCAGAGCCCATTCGGGCTCGAGGAATAATTGCTAAAAATCCCACGTTAAAGCACCCCCCGGTTTTAAACCCTCTCCCGGATCTAAGTCCATCTCTTTGCTAACGAAGATATCACATATTCCGGATACAAGTCCCCCGGATATAATCCCCCCCCCCCCTATTTATAAGCCTACCCAAAACCCCTCAAGACGTTATATAAGCCCAGGGGTTTAACGTGAGATTTTACGGTACCGGTATGTCAGAAGTGGTCACGAATTAGAACCATGTGTGCTTGTTGCTTGTGTCGTGTACGACCGAGCGTTTTTATTTGAACTTGGGACTTATTTTTTTTTTCAGCAATCCATTTGTCCCGGAGTTGCTTTGTCTAAGGTTCTGTTAGCAGCACAAATTCCCGACAAGCATGAATTCACAGAGTTTAACTCCATCGCAAGGGTGAGTTTTACTTCGTTGGTCGCGAACGTGGTTAAAATTCTTGTTTAATTTCTCTCCTTAAAAGTGGATTTGGAAACAAAATTTATGATGTCAGAGACAGTTTTATATGGCAGTTAGGCAGCGATATTGCTTCATAAAAATTTTGGGCAACACGTGGGAATGGATAAAGGAAAAACGTCATTTTGTAATAACATATAATGCGATCAGTAAAAAATGACTTGATAGGAAAAATTAGAGAGACCTTGAATAATGGCAACTCAATACCCCAACAGCTATTTTGTAACCACCAACAATTTCTGCAGCTTTAGGAAACCTTTGTGGAAACAGGAGATACATTAGTAGCCTGTTTATAATAATAATAAGCATTTGGAAAAATGTAAGCTCCTTGTTTGTCTTGTCCCATCGCGTTTCTTGCCCCTCAGCATGGCGTATTTGTACCACGTGACTAAAGCACTACAAAGCGCCCATTTCGTTCGGTAGTCTAGCCCGCGCCATAGACGAAACTAAACTCTGGTTAAGTCTGTCTACGAAAAAGCGTCGAAATCCTTGTTCTGGGCCCCACTTGTGTACCAGGATTTGAGTACGCGCCATGATTGGCCTTTTAAAAGTGCCATTGTCCATTTGCCAATCAGGTTGAAAAGAAACTGGGTTCTCAAACGCACTTCTGGCAAAACGCTTAATTCCGTTGTGGGCCCAGAACAAGGATCTCGGCGCTGTTTCGCCCAGAAAAAGGATCTACCTGTTTCGCAGACATTACCTCTTGCCTCTCAAAAATATGAAAAAATCAAATCGGCAAGTTTAAATTTACGCAACTCAGCATAAAAGCGACTCTAGCATAGGAGGATTTGAAGATTTTAGTCCAGCATAGGGTAGAAAACTTCAGCTGCACTAGCTTTAGTATAGGCTAAGGGTTACAGGGTCCCGGCGGCACATCCCCGCCCAAAAAATCCTGAAAAAGTACCCCCCCCCCCGGGGGGGGGGGGGGTTAGATTACATATGCGACGTAGGCTATTGCAATTGGTAGTCCAGTTTCACATTAGTGGTGACTTGTGAAGAAAGTCTTTCTCAAAGGTGGTCCATTACATTTACCGAGGTGTCCAAATGACTGAATTACTCTCAAGTTTAACAAAGCCCTGTTTTCTTTGATTTCACAGCAATGTCTTCTGTCCATGGGAGTAACAGAAGCCAGTTTCGTTGTGAAAGACAAAGACGCCAGCGATGTGGGAAAATTTCTCAACCGTATTTTGGGTCTTAGTGTGGAAAGACAAAATTTGGTAAGTACAAAGATCCTTCCTGTTTGGTGGCAATGAAACGTACGTTTGAGGGGAAGTTCTGGGACTACCCTTGTTTCCTAACTTTTTCTGCTATTTGAAGCCCTGTCGTGAATTTTATCTGTCGATTTCTCAGTCTTCTTTTATCAGTCGATTTCCCACTCTTCTTTTATCGACCGATTTCTATATCAGTCTTCTTTTATCGTTCGATTTCCCACTCTTCTTTTATCGATCGATTTCTCAGTCTTCTTTTATCGTTCGATTTCCCACTCTTCTTTTATCGATCGATTTCTCAGTCTTCTTGTATCGATCGATTTCTCAGTCTTCTTTTATCGATGGATTTCTCAGTCTTCTTTTATCGATCGATTTCTCAGTTTTCTTTTATCGATCGATTTCTCAGTCTTCTTTTATTGATCGATTTCTCAGTCTTCTTGTATCGATCGATTTCTCAGTCTTCTTGTATCGATCGCTTTCACAGTCTTCTTGTATCGATCGATATCTCAGTCTTCTTGTATCGATCGATATCTCAGTCTTCTTGTATCGATCGATTTCTCAGTCTTCTTGTATCGATCGATTTCTCAGTCTTCTTTTATCGGTCGATTTCCTACTCTTCTTTTATCGATCGATTTCTCAGTCTTCTTTTATCGGTCGATTTCCCACTCTTCTTTTATCGATCGATTTCTCAGTCTTCTTTTATCGATCGATTTCTCAGTCTTCTTTTATTGATCGATTTCTCAGTCTTCTTTTATCGGTCGATTTTCCACTCTTCTTTTATCGATCGATTTCCCACTCTTCTTTTATCGATCGATTTCTCAGTCTTCTTGTATCGATCGATTTCTCAGTCTTCTTTTATCGATCGATTTCTCAGTCTTCTCTTATCGGTCGATTTCTCAGTCTTCTTGTATCTATCGATTTCTCAGTCTTCTTTTATCGATCGATTTCTCAGTCTTCTTGTATCGATCGATTTCTCAGTCTTCTTGTATCGACCGATATCTCAGTCTTCTTGTATCGATCGATTTCTCAGTCTTCTTGTATCGATCGATTTCTCAGTCTTCTTTTATCGGTCGATTTCCCACTCTTCTTTTATCGATCGATTTCTCAGTCTTCTTTTATCGATCGATTTCTCAGTCTTCTTTTATTGATCGATTTCTCAGTCTTCTTTTATCGGTCGATTTCCCACTCTTCTTTTATCGATCGATTTCCCACTCTTCTTTTATCGATCGATTTCTCAGTCTTCTTTTATCGATCGATTTCTCAGTCTTCTTGTATCGATCGATTTCTCAGTGTTCTTGTATCGATCGATTTCCCACTCTTCTTTTATCGATCGATTTCTCAGTCTTCTTTTATCGTTCGATTTCTCAGTCTTCTTGTATCTTTGTCAGAACTAGCCGGCCAAACTGGTCATAATGAAAATGAAATGTTTACCAAAAACCCATCACTGCCGCGCATACATTTTAGAGATAAACAGATCTGTCCGGATAGTCCTGATTAAAAGTGGAATTCTCCTGGCGGTTGTACTGGTCTGGCCAGCCAGTTCTGACAAATTGTAAGTGCCCTAAGACTTTCTGTTATCGAGTTTCGTTTTTTGTTTCTGTTTTCTATTTTCGTGGTGTTACTCAATCAGTCGCGTTTTTAGCGCTCATGGAATTTGAATTTTGAATGAGTCTGATATCCAGATTTTACCGCTCCTTCAGGGTATAGGGAAGAGGAGATGGCTGACACCACAAACTCGGCTTCGGTATCTCAAGTATATAACTTTCTCCTCTACACCGGTAGCTCGCTAGTATAGAACAGACGCTTCTGCCTTCCCAAGCTCACTAACTCAGTTTACACCCACTTTTCTGCTGCGCTACATCTCACGTGACCACACCCCTTGTGCAAAGCACTTTGCGATTTTTGCTCATAAGAAATGTTTCATTATCCCCTGTTTTATTTGTAGTTATTCTCGTACTTTTGTGAGTGCCTAAATGCTGCAATTGAAACTGCAAAGCGAGAAGGAAGGTAAGTATTGTTTTTGTTACTGACCAGTTAATTTCTAAGAAACTAAGTTCTTCACCCCGAAGCGTCGATCTCTCATATTAAGCTTAGGGTCAATAAAGCTTGGTTCTTACACGATAAGATTTGTGTCGCATGCATCCTCGAAAAAACATTGGTCTCGCATTCATACCCTGGACACAAATGAATAATATTGCATGATAATTCTTAGGTATAGTGAAGGCGTGACAGACGTATCTGGATCTTCAATCACGATGGTCGGCGCTGCCCGGCCTGTTTTTAGCGACTTTCAAAGAGGCCTCATGGAAACAAAGTAAGTAGTCTTAATGAAGATATGACCCTTCCCAGTCGTGAACGCAATTTAAGCAATTGCAAATTTAGCCCGAAGTTACCATTAAGTCAATTCTTAAGGTCATTCTTCTGTAGTTGAATCTGCAGTGAGATTTTTGTCAAACTTTGCCGATTGGATGTTGTTTGAAATAAAATCGCGGGGTCCCCAATCCCCATACTCGTTTTGGAGCGGGAGCAACTTGTAAGTGCGCAGTGATTCCTTGAGATACCAAGGGAGCTTCCGCATCAACGACAGCGATGGCAGCGAAAACGTCACTTTTAAAATGAATTTGAGTGGGTTTTTTTTGGCGTGCTTATTCCAGTTCAATGACAATGTCAAACTGTAGCGGGTGAATTTCTTGGGGACTGCACTCAAGTTTAGATAGAGAAGGAAAAAAATTCTTCCTCGCTTGTTTACGTCCTCCATAAACGTGAAATTAGGCATTTTCACATCGTAGTTGTGCAGTGACGGCAACGAAATGTAGAAAAATGTGTGATGCACGTGCGAAGTTGTTGTTTAGCTAATATAAACCTAAGCCCCGTGCAAACGGACGCAACTTAACATTGTTGGCCAACAACTCTCAACATTGTTGGATGTTACATGTTGCGTCCGTTTGCACATCCTGTTGGATGTTGTTGGATGTTGTTGCGTGTTGTTGCGCAAAGTTTGAAACCGGTCAAACTTTTCAGCCAGCGACTCCCAACATTTCTTTTCTTCCGTGATCGCCGGAACGTAGCACAACAATGTTGGATCCGTTTGCACAACTCTTCCAACATTGTTGGGGCCACGCACGCTCATTACACATGGATTACAAAGACTCATGGGTTGTATCCTTCCCACGATGCACTGCAGGTCCCAACATTGTTGGGAGTTGTTGCATCCGTTTGCCGACATGCACGCAACAACATGCACGCAACAACTCCCAACATTGTTGGCGCAACAATGTTGGGAGTTGTTGCGTCCGTTTCCACGCAGCCCTATGATTTTTTACCTTTCTAGTTGCAGTCGCTCCCGACTATGATAATATTTAGGAGTACATGTTTTGAACACGTTTCCGACGCTCGTCTCTCTTTCTACGGTAGAAATTAGTCTTAATTTATCCAAGAAGAAGAACGTTACTGCTCATTTTAAAAGAAGAGAAAAAATAAAAGGTCACCATTCTCGTTTACGAGAAAATGAAGATTTAACTCTCTGGGGAGCTCCACTCCAGTGTCAAGGCAAAAGCCGCCTTGTTTTAAGTGCGTGCGTCCTGTTATGATCTGTTGGCGCGGGCTTATCAAGCGTGAAGTAATGCGCAATGCATACGAAGGAATAACCTGAAATCCCTTCTCAGTTATTTTCATTTCTTTTTTCAGACACATGACTGTAAACGTTGATCGCGGAATAGGCTGGGATTCGGCAGTGAAGCAGTTACAAGACAATGGAAAAAACAAGTTTGACGGGTTTTATTGTTCCAAAAGGGAACAGAAAGGGAGACGGCTTTACCTTCTAGCGATACAAAAGGAGTCTTCCACCCATCTTTTTAACATTACAAGGTAAATGTAAGGGCGAAAAACTGCTTTTCACCGATGTGAACGCCCTAAAAGTTCAAATTTTAGGTTGGTTGGTTGGTTGGTTGGTTTAAATACTGTAAATCCTCTATACAGCCCTGCCCTCTCTCTTAAATAAGCACCTTCCCCTTTAACGTTTCATCTGGACTAATCCGGTATGCTTCATTAACCAGATTCAGAGACTTGAAGTTGTGATTTCTTCCTGTAAACGATAAAGTACATGCGACTAAGCCTCCCAGGATCTTAGCTCCCGGCGCGTCCAAACAAATTAAAATGAATTCGATTTATTATGACATTTTGAAGCTTGTTTAAAAACCAGTAAATGCTCAAGGTTTCTTGTTCAGCACTGCTATAGAATGTTTCGAAGCGCCTTTTCTGTTTCGGTTATTAGCCCCTTCGTTTATTAGCTCTCTTAAAACCCCTTAAGAAAATGTATAAACCCAGGGTTTATAAGCGACATATTACGGTGTGGAATTTCTACCCAAAGATAATTTCCGCTTTTACTTCGTTTTGTTTTTGTGCAGACCAAACACAGGACGGTCTCCTTTTGAAGAAGAAAAAACCGATCTTCTGCACAAGTACAATAGGATTTCACTGGAAGATGCAGGTAAGGGAGACGGGCCTAGTCAGGCTATCTTTGTATCTACCACCGGGAAGCCGTGTGAAATCAGAAGTGCTGTCCGCGTGTTTTACTGTGATTTGTTTGAAATCTAGTACACTGCACGGGTGCCAGCCCGTCCTAACTTGTAAAAGGTTGGCGAATATTCCTGGTGCTAAATTCTCAAAAAGTGTAGTTATCTTCAAAAAGATAAATAAAAATTCGTCGTCGTCTCGTCCTCCATAAAACGTCGCTTTAGGGGGTTTCACGTCGTAGTCGTGCAGTGGACGTTAAAGAAATGTACTGAAAAGTGTGGTGTACGTGCAGAGCCGTATTGTTTTGTTCATAAAATGAATTTTTTGACGTACTCGCTGCCAACAGCAAGTGGTAACGTTTGCGCATGCGTCAAGCTTGCTGGGAAGCACTTGTTGTCGGGAAATCGTAATGGCCGAAAGCCGTTCTGAAGCACTTTCAAGGGAGATTTTTTTGCATACCCAATCGACAACAGACATGTCTTATAGATTGGATACTTTGGCTAAGCCATGATGAAGTGTCATGTATGGGAGAGGGACCATTTAGGTGGTTAATTTTCGTCCATTTGGCTCCTGTGATGAAGCAGATAAAGCGTTCACGAGGTCGTTTGTTGTGATATGTTGATTTGTTGACATTCAAGCGGTCACGGATTTCTGGGTTATCGTCCACGATCTGCAGAGCTGCCTAACATTTAGGTAAGATATACCCCTTGATTTACTTTGTGAAATGTGGAGCAGCATCATCGAATGTTATGTGTTAAAATTATAGCAGCCTGAATTCAACGTAATTTATGTGACCCTGGTATTTTTGTAGTATTTGACCCTGACCGTACAGCGAGATCCAGTGATATATCCCACACAAGCGACTAAACAGGTGAAACTTCTCTTTCGGTCACTCCGTATTTTCACTTTTAATGGTTAATTCAAAGGGGGGAAGTTCGAGTATTTTGATACTATTTAGCGGCATGAAATCAACAAGAAAATTTCCTGCTCTTACAAGTATAGCCATAGTCGGATGTCTCCTTCCATTTTCGAAAATTTGCTTTTCTGGTTTACATTGGTGCTCTATGGCGATTACTTATTCTCAGAGATTAAGAGATCGAGGCGGTGGATTTTGAAATATTATTTGCTAAAACTTCGTTAAAGATGGACAAATTTTTCTTGTCCTTTTCAACCTTGTTTTTAGATTTTTCGTTAACATGTAAAAGTATATCCCAACAAAACTTATTTGTAAGAGCATTGTTTCGGAACACTCTTTCATTCTTGAATGTTTGATTTTGCATCCAAGGGGGGGAACACTGATGAATTTGCGTTTTAATAATCATGCACTGTAAGCTCTCAGATTCACTGACAAGAACCCTCACCATTTGGAAGATGATTTTATTCTGATAATTATTCAATGATGATTTGTTTATACATACAAAACTGGTGCCTAAAAGAATTGTAATGTTATGCTTAAAATGTTTACATAATATCTTGAAACATAACTGAAATCAATATAAAATATGAAAATACACATATGTGCATTCTTTTCCCTGCCCTACTATAAAAGTGATTTAATAAGTGTGATGTAATGCATTTTCATATGACCATTAATATTACTCCCACTTTGACACTAGCACAAATTCAAGTGCAAAACAATTCTTGCCCTTGTTCACCTTTGCACTTGCTGGACTGCCATTCCTGTTTGAAGTACAGACAACACTGGACATGAAATCCCTGTATTTGATATTTTACATTGGCATCCACATAAGAATTACCTACAATGTATTTGTATGCTTACAAAAATCATAAATGTTATTATTCCTTTTCTATCCTAAAGATTTCTTTCCTTCTTGAATATAAATTCGTATCCATGACACTTTAGAAATCCTGAAATATTTAAAGTGGTATCACTAGTTGTGGGCAAAAACTAAATGCCATAGGGGTAACTTTTCACTCTCTGATAGAAATAGATCTTTTGATACTCTGGGTCTCATATATTCAGTGTTTGTGCACATGAATTTAGGAGCACTTGGCTTGCCAATGTCGGTTTGGCTGTGTATACACTGTAGTAGTGTATATAATCATATATCATAGGCTGCACAAGTTGCAATTTATGTAAAATTGCCCCTGAAACAAGCTCATTGATGCTCCTGGTGTCGCAGATGACAAGTTATGAAAAATTGATTTTGCCTTTTTCCTGTCGCAGGAGCTCCCTATGAGATGCTCAGCACTAAACCTTGTTGATTCAGGTGATAGTCATTGAGGACGACTGCATCGTCACATTTAAACCAGTCACACTTTTCACTCAAGCCATAGCAGAGCTGGTACAAAATGGCGACTATCCGTTTTTTATTTTACCCTATGCTGTCTGCAGAATGTGAAAGGTCTGTCACTCCATCCTGAACTGCATCAAATAGCCTTGGTGCCCCAGAAGACACACAGACAAGCTTTAATTTTAATGAGCCATACATTGGCTCACTTGAAGCTGCCATAAACTCAGACTTTATAAATATCAGGCTTTAAGATCCTTGAGGTCTCCTCATGTTGAAATTGAATGAAAAGGAAAAGTTAGAGCTAATTTTCTCTCATTTTCAATTTTTTAATCTTAGCCCAGATATGGGCTAGTCAAGGGAGCTAGGCCTTATTAGTTATATCTTAAATAATTAACACATGTGCAGTAGAAAAAACCAACAACAAAATTTATTAAAAGCAAAAATGAGTGCAAGCATGGAAGTATCAGAAGCAGAAAATTCACTTCAATGTCTCAGAGAGAAAAATAATGCAGTTTTAGATATGACTATGATCTTTACTATTTTAAGTATTTTCACTGCTGTGTGCATATTTACAATGTAGAAGTGTGGGGAGTAAAGGGAAGGATTTTTCATGGTTAGGGTTACCTCAATAAAACACATCTGTAATATGAAACATCTTGTACCACACTCTTTTTTTGGCTCATCTAATCTTTATTTTAGAAGTATAAGGGGCATGTTGGAGTCAAGAGCCTCCATATTACAAAATTCTGCCTACACCCCTGTATAAGTTAAGGCGTCACATAGATTTAATAGATGTCATTTCTTGAGTTTGAGTCTTTATCTAGTCAAAAAAGGAAACATACAATTTCATAGCCCTGGGTGGGATATCTTTGAAATTTTATCAGTCGCAGAATTAGGGCACTGCACCTGCTTTGGCCACTGGTGGTTAGGATGGGGTATCTCTGAAAAGTAATCACTGGCAGAATCACTACACTAAGGTTGCACATCTCTGAAAAACAGGGCGTTCCTGAACCATAACTGACGTGAAATCGTATTATTGCAAGGGGATTGTCGCAAGAACTGCAGTTATGACTATATAAACAGACTAGCATTTAGAATTTTTTTCACAGCGTTTTATTCAAATCGTAAGCGTCGGACGTTTTGTACTCGGTCACAACTTACATGAAGAGATTTTTTCCCAATTATCCAGTGTTTAAAAGAGGAGTTTTGCAGCTGTTACACAGAACCCCATCGACGTGTCCGCGCGCAAGCCAAAACACGAAACAATAATCACTCATGGACCACAAACCGCGCAAAATTGTGAATGATCTGCGACTTATTAGCCTTGAGACCAATCTCGCATATTACAAAGAAGACTTTGTCTTATCTGCACTCCACAAAGATAAAACAGATGAGTAAGACGATGGTAATTTTTAAAAGAGGCGCCATTTTTCTTTGCTGCATTCGCTACCACCACAAACTTCCGTCCAGCGGCTCGCGCATACTCGCAACGTTACCACTTGCTGTTCTCGCTGCCGTCGTCGTTGTGGTTGCAGAGCTTTTAAAATAAAAGCCATTAAATAAAAAAATTTCTTTTGTTGTGACTTCATGTTTTGCTAATCGTTTAACAGGTTACACGAAAAGTAAAACTCGTAAAATGTCAAGTACTTTGATTGGTCAGGAACTAAATACTGTTGTATACTTTTGATTCATTAGAAGCTGGATGGAAAGCACAGTACGAAAGAACCAGAGATCACTGTATTCACGGATTAGGCTGCAAGACTGGACCTTCTTGTAAAAGTAAGTGAAAACTTTATTACAGTGGTGTATTCCTTAGAAGTCTCCTTAAGAGACCACGAGGAAGTGACCCGACAAAATGATTTAATCCTTCTTTAAAAGAATAACTCCGACAATTTGTTAATGAATGAACGAATAAACTTTATGAAAGTGTCAATACAACATCTAGCAGAGAAAAACCCTCATCTAATAGGGGACACCTAAAGCGCGATACAATGATGACATTCAGTTGCAATGAAACGAATATTTTAAATTTACAGTGAGCACGATACAATGAAAAGTTATCAACTTGTTAGTGGCTAGCTTTAAAAAAATACGTAACGTTGATGGGTAATGCAGTCCATGATTAAGATATGGTTCTGCTATCTTTCTTTATCCCATCCCATCCTATCCTATCCTATCCCATCGCATTCCATTCCGTCCTATCCTGACCTGTTCAATAGAAAGAAAAGACAGCATAATAGCATCCCAATATCAATACCTTGTATTGTTACTTGGTATTGGCCATTTTGAGGTTGCGCGTCAGGCTCAGGTTGTTGGTATGTCGAGAGCACTTTGATCCCTTTTGGGACGCTATGGCTTCACTCATTGGCTGTTACGAGGTTGCGCAAGAAACTGGGTTAAAATTTCTCTCGCAAAACAGTCCCATAGTGCAATTGGACTGGCCACTCTGTGGTCAAGAGTGATATTTCACATATATTTACATGAAGTCAAACGGCAACCATAAAATGGCTAATCATTGGATCGATCACCGTTTCTGGAAAAACTCCCAACCTCCGAACCCCTAACCCATGTTTCTTTCCTAAAGTCACCCGTTAGGGAAAAACGAGAGTTAAGGTGGGTTGGGAAGGACCCAGAAACTGTAAATAATTCGACGAGATCCCGTCTTTGTTTGTTTGTCAGCCGGCTGTCGCATTACTCAGATCCATTTATTGTGTGGTGGAATTATTCCTCTGTTGTCTGCGTTGGAGATGGCCATGGCTAAAAATGCTGATAAAATTGGTCTCAGGTAAGTAACTCTTAACCCCTTCGCTTCCAAAAGAACTGATTATCAAAAGCATGAATCGCTATAAAAGCCGAAGCACTGCTAAAAAGGTTATATGTGAATGGTCGCACAATGTATCCACAGTACGTCTTAGCGGTTGATATTTTGACCGTCTGGCGACTTCGGTTCCCGAGGCGTGAGTTTTGGTCGTGTCATTGTGTTTGGTTCTTGTCGCCGAGCAGTTTTTCTTTTTCCTTTTTGTTGCAGCAAGGAAAGTCGATCTCTGAGAGTAGTCCGCGTTGAGCTAGATGACGGTCAGCGGCTGGTAGGTCTGCGTTACCCAGAGCAACTCATACCGGAAGCTACATTGTTTCTGAAGGAGCAAAAGTTGCTCGACGCCGTTATAGTAAGTAAATATCGATTTGTATAAAGAAAAGTGTAAAACATTCTCATCACACACTTTTGGCCAAGCACTCGTGTTAAAGAACAGTCCCCGACCGGTCCTTAATTTTAGCAGCGTTGAACGATTGATAACCACACTCAGTCATCATCAAGAACTCCTCTTAACCTTAAGTCCCAAGAGTGACCAACATTAATTTTCTCCTAACAATAATATTTAGCAATTATTCCTCTCGCCTTCATGGCCTCTGAGGCAATAGCCCATGAGGCCGAAGGCCAAATGGGCTATCGACTGAGAGGCCATGAGGGCGAGAGGAATAATTTTTTTAATAAAATGCAACTAGCTGGTCAAAAATATCGAGACAAAACAGGTTTAGCTGGTTAAAGCTAGACTTAAATCGTTTTTTTGCAGCCAAAAAGCCCGCGCTTTTCGCTACTAATGGGCTGTAACATATAGCCTAGTAGTAGCTCAACCAATCAGAACGCAGCATTGATAATAGACCACTAGTTGGATTTTACTAAATGGATTAGCCAGGGCTAAAAGCGAAGCTCTGGTTAATAATACTTATAACCAAGAAAAATTAAAACGTGTAATGCTAAACGGGGACGGCAATGAAAATGGCATCAAGTTTAATAGATCTAATTAGCAAAAAAACAAATTGCACGTGCAGCACACTTTTTTTTCTAATTAGCAAAAAAACAAATTTGCACGTGCAGCACGCTTTTTGTCTTTCTTTGCCGTTGTTTTGCACAACTACAACCCTGTTTTTTGGACTAAATCGTCAAACTTCCTAGTTACACATTATTTTTATGGAGGAATTGTCGTATCTGCTTACCCAATATTTTGTCTCCTGTGTTCATGTTCGCTTTTATTTTTCACTGCCCCTCATTTTCACCTTGCTGGGCGTTCCTTGCTGGCCGCTAGCATTTCTCATTGTCTCACCGCCGCTTTGAATTTTTATGTTTTTCTTGCTACAAAATTCGGCTGTAGCTCTTTCTCTGTTATCCACGTGAATGTAAACATCAAAAATAACATCGAAAAATACATGACTTTGTACTTCTCACTTAGGGCAAAATGTTGGCTTAGGGGAGGGGTAGGTGGGCAGTTTCCCAGAAGCGTGTAATGATCCATAATATCAATACGTAACCAAGAGAGAAGGTTATAAGAATTAATAAAATGTAACCAAAAGTTGATCTTTTACCAAATTGTCTGTTCTAATTTTGTTAAAACATACGTGAAGAAAAAGTCCGGAGATTTTATTTGTCTGTGTATACTGGGTTTTCATAGTACACAACAGAGAATAAGTTTTATTTTAACATCGCAGCATGATCTTGTTACTTATCTGATATTTATTTCAAATTATTAATAACCTGCGAGTTCAGCCTTCTCTCATTGCCCCCGTTTCTGGGGACGTTAGCGAGAGTCTGGTTAAAATTTTTATCGTGCTTTGCTACTGCTTCTAGGCTTCAACTTTGAACCTTGTTAGGTATTGTTTTGACTTAAACGATTATCTTTTTTTTGTTGTTGTTTTTTTTCCTTTATTTTCTAGGACAAACAAAATGGTGTTTTGAGTTCAACGGAACCTTCTCTTAGACAGCCATCAAAAGCCAGCCGAGCGTTTGAGGAAGCGGAAACGCCCATCAACCAAAGGACGTTAACTAAGGCTACTACTCCTCCTGTAACTATAAAGAATTTCTTTAAACCGAAGACTGTTGAACGATCACCTGAGAGTAATAAAAGTGCATCAGAACATCAGGATGTTAAGGAAAAGAGCGAAAATCAAGAAATCGAGAACAACGTCAAAAACAGCACGGATGACAAACAAGCAACGACCAAAGTAAGTAAGAAGGAAGTCAAATCAATATACTTTAAATCGAAGGGAAGAGAAAAGGAAGATGCTGCTAAGTGTAATGGTCTTGTGCATCACCTTTCGCAACCCCTTTCGAAAGAGAACCTTCAAGGAAAGAACTCTTTGAAACGAACCAGTTCTGAAGCGTCGTCAAGGGCGATTAAGCGACAGAAGCAATCGAGCATTTTGTCTTCGTTTGGGAAAAGGAGTGACAAAGATTCTAAGGACCAAATGGAGAAAGAAATTCTCTGCCCTGTTTGTGGGGAGAAATTTGCGAGCGGATTGAAAAATTCTGATATCAACAAACACATCGACAATTGTCTCAGTAAATGATAAAAATTATGAAATTTATATATTTTTAGCAAAAATGAATACTAGTTATTCTTGAATCACAATATGACATAATTAGCAATAGTATTGTTACATGTAACTGATATAAGTTTAGTTATGAAATTATAACACGTTCATGGTTCTGCAGTTTTTTTTATCGAAATCTTTTCAAAGAAACAAGCTTATGCTACATCCCTCTGATTCTGCACTAAAACCTGTGTCAATCCGTGGATTTACGCTCCCATGTACAGTCGAACGCCGCTTTGCGGACACTTGCTTAATACGGACACCATCATTATTACAGACGGTTTTCTTTGTCTCTGGGGAAAGAAAGCCCTTACATTTCCTCTAAAATTTGTCTATAATATTCTATTACTTGAGGACGGCTAAAAATTTATAGATGACCGTTCCATTCACGTACAATTCTCGAAGCTTATCTTATAAATTCTCCACGATTTTCTGAAATTTTATTTTTCACATTTTACTGTCCAAGTTAGACTGTTTTTCGTAGAAAAAAGGAACCTAAACTTTTCGGTTTCAAAAATGTGATGGCGAGAGGAATCAGAAAATTTCTCACTTTTGGTAATACGTCAAATTTCATCTAAAATGTCGGAAAAATAATACTCAAACCTTTGTAATTTCGAAAAGACTCAAGTTCCCCAAGGATGACCAAACAGATACAAATGTTACGCGCCGTATTTAGAATGCATTTCTAGATATCTAAAAAGTACTCTGGATAGCCTAAAAAGGAAACCATCGTTGGGTGCCCCGGTTAATAACTTATTCCTTTCTCTAAACGGCAAAACTAGCCAACAAAATGAGAAAACCTGTAGTAAATATGATTGATACCCCAATACATTCTAAATGGAAAAAAAGCTATAATTTTAGGATAAGACAAGAATTTTGTCAGCCTCAAATCGGCAGAAAAGTAAGAATTCTTACTTATTTATTTGCCAGAAAAAAAAACATAATGATATACGTACAGACATGCAATATATTATAAAAAATATTATTTAAAGATAAAAGAGGCGTAGATTGTAAGTAAAAGAATTAAAAGTATTTTTCTGGCGAGAAAGCTCAAACAGAAGCCTTGGGGCTTATTATACGAAGAATATTCAGTCCGTGGGTCGGAAAATAACATTCTAAAAAAAGAGTGTTTTCGTCGATAACACAAGCGTCAATTTTTGTTGTCGACAAACCGCAACTCTTCTCTCCTCGTCTGTGTGACAATCTTTGACAAGTAACGCTACTATCATTGCCCCTTTCTCGACAAATAAAAATAAAAAACTTTTAGAGTTTACAAATGCAACTTTCCGCACATTGCGGTTTACTAAGTTGCAGCTTACTATTTGTAAGTAACTTGTAAGAAAATAGTAATCGAAATCTTTGGATCACAGAACTCTTTGACAGTTTTGTTAAAAATCCCAAACTGTCGGTAACCTAGGATCGTTGCTATTTAAAGAGTTCATGGTCTCAAAAGTTAATACACACTTCGAGTCCTTAGTAACTGTCAAGCGTGATCATTCGAACAATGGGTATTGAAAAACCAAATGATTTTTTTAAATGATTTTTTGTTTTCCATTTTGAGCTAATGCGCTCATACGATTGAAAACGATAAAGTCAGGGACGAAGAATTATACCCATATTTTCTATTCTTGACTTTTATGGTCAAAAATTGAAACTCTTCCTCGTTCCGTGGTTTCTATTGTTGGTCGCGTGATATGCGAGATCAGACAATAAATCTGAGACGCACAAACCATTAGACGAACTTGAATAAATTAGTCTCGCCTAAATAGAAGATGGCGCTCACGCTTAGTTCGCTTTTAAAAAATGTGAAATCGGCCTTCCAAAACAACTCAGGTTCCATAAGAAACACAACTGTCGCCTTGCTGGTGTTTGGCCTGAATGCCGTCGTACAGAGTGAAGGTTTTTTCCAGTGTCCTCCAGACAACTTTGTTTTCTACTCCAGCTGTTTCTTCATCATTCCTGCTTTGTTTTTGTTCATGGCGACGATTTTTCTTCACAGCGGATTTTGGGATCATGTTCGTGGATGCTGTTATTACGAAGGTCCGTACAAGCGAGGAGCAAAACGGTACTGCTGTTGTTTGTTTCCAAGATGGCCTTGCAGCAAAGCTCTTGTGGAAATCGTATTCCAAAGTTCTCTGTCTGGGTTCATGTGGATTTTCTGGGCGCTCTTGCAGCGTGACTATTACATCTGCGCCGCTCTCGGAGGAACGAAAGCAGCTAAATTAATCAATGCCTCAGCCGCGCAAAAGTTACAAATCGAAGCAGATTACGCGAACGCGGGAAAAAATTCACAGACGGCAGCGTTGCTCTTGCTAGCTGGAGCGTTACTTACAGGTTTCGTTGTTGTTTCAGTTCAGCGATGCTGTTATCAGCGTGAGTTCGGCACTTTACCGAGTCCGTACCAGTATAAGAAGCTCGAGTCAGAAGCTGCTGTGGAGGCCTTTAAACTGAACATGGAAAAACTCGCGAAAGGACAAGGCAAGAGGCGTGCAGATATGTACTTTGCGACCATGAACAAGAAAAACCCGTCTGACATCCTTAAGAGTGCCTATGAAAATCTCGTCGCTGTGAACAAATTTGACGAAGCGTTTCCATCTTTGGAAGATTATCAGGAGCTCCAAGCACAGGCGGCTGTCACGGCCTTTAAGGAGCGAGTTCAGCAAGAAGGAAAACAAAAAGTTGAGCTGACTTTCGTTGACACAACATGGCGCGAATACGAAGAGACCGACGCATTCGCGCTGGTCACCAGCGCACACGAGGCAATGGCCGAACGCTATCCGCGGTCAACCGGCGACAGGACACAACCGTACGTGAAAGAAAAGACCGAAGAGCATGGCGAAGTATTACATACTCTGAGTAGTCGAGGAAGAGTTTCTAATATTGAAATGCTCTAAAGGCAGTTGACTGGAGCACAGCTTTCTTTTAACACGCCGACAAGAGTTTATAAGGCAAAGTCAAATTAAAACCGAGGTGCAACAGAATTCGCCTGTACGCAGACGAAACATAGAATGACCGTGAACTGACTGTAGCCGAGTTTTTTATATCAATTTGGAGGTAGTATGAACCTCTCAAATAACAACAAATTTCAAAGCACAAGTTGCAAACTTTTCTGCTCCTTTACGGTAGGGGATTTCCTCTGTTTTCTTTAAATTCGTAACATTTTTCAGTTAAAGTTTTCTGTTTTTAAATTATGCTTTGTGTTTTATGCACCTATCAATGGTTTGCCCCAGGATGGGGAAAAAAAATAATGGTACCCACAAACGTTGAGCATATCCCTTAGTGTAGAAGACATATTCCAGCTGGATATCTGACGTTGCTGGCAATTTAACACACATGCTATACTCCCGAAAGTACCTTTGAACTGTTTCACACAGTGTTTACAGCAATGCAAAATGTGCAATGCCAGAACATGACATGCCAGCATCAAGAAGGGTTAATGTCTAAGGGCTGGTGTTTTGTACCTGTGGTCCAGAATTTCATTTAATTGGACATTTTGAGTACAGTAAAAACCCACGAGTAAGAACCTACATTTTCCAGGGTTAGCCTAAACAGGTTCCTACTTAAATGGTAGTTAACGTAAATTTAGGCTATCTAGGTTCTTGATAGGTTCTTAATTTCTTGCAAAAAATTATGTCGTTGCTAAGAAGATTTTAGTGATCAGCACGCTTAAATTTTTATACCTAATGATTGCTTATATTTTAATATGACCATAATAGAGATCTATTCTCACATGAATTTTAATTTCTTGAGTCAAAACAACTTTATATGCATGTCATAATTTTTAACATTAGAATTGACATGTAGCAACTACTCATTCAGATTGATCATACATTTATTATACCATTTCTCTTTAAGTAAATATTTTTAAATGATTTTTGAAAATAACAACCTTTCTCCAAATTTTAGGCTTAAGAGGTTCTTATATAGAGGGGGTCTAAATTGCAAATTTTAGCCTAACAGGTTCTTAAATCTTAGGTTCTTACTCGTGGCAAATCTAACACAGAATTTCATTTTTTGAATCATTTTTTGATCTTTCATCAAAAACTTGTGGCAGAGCAGCATCTGGTAAAAACATGTAATTAGAAAGCATATTTTTAAAGTGAGACTTTGTGCAAGTATTACTTCTCAATGCTTAAAATACTTTTTGTTATAAAACTGCAAAAACTTAAAAAGCAAGTTTCATTATGCCGTCCTTCACAAAGAAATGAACACATCAAAATGTGGTAAACAAAAAAACCAAGCAGGACGGAGTGTTCGTGTTGAGCAGTCATTTTTAATTTGACGTTTAAAAGTAGGTGAGAATTAAGTGAGAAATAAGACAGCAGGCAAGATTATCTTTGGTGACGGTGTTTACTGATTTGCTAAATCAGTTGAAGTCGTTTAAGCCAATCCAAGCTTTCGACTTCCTCTGGAGCATGAGTCACGCTAGTAATGAATGATAATCGGCGGTTACCGTGATATTAACGTAGCGCCGGTTATTGCGAGATTGGTTGAAAAGGTTGGTTATCTTTTCCGCGCCAAGGAGTCGTCCGAGAATAGTCTTGCGCCTTCGCAGTTTTCGTATAGAGACGGAGGCTGTTGCGCTAATGCTTTATTGACTATTCAGCACAGGGTTCTTAGTTTTCTTGATAATTCTGCTTGCAAAGGGGTTAGACTCTTCAGTATGGACTTAAGTAAAACTTTGGATATAGTGAAGCATGTCTTACTCGCTGATAAGCTTAAAAGTCATGTTCTCAATCCTTATATTCAGAATTGGTGTCTTAGTTGTCTTTCTGATTGGCAACAAAGAGTTGTATATAATAACAGCTTCTTCGGAGAATGGAAAGATGTCAACAAGGGTATGACCCAAGAGTCTGTCAATGTTTTCCTGAATGATCTTAACATTCAATTAGAAGGTGTTGACATACTTTTTAAATATGTTGATGACACGAATATTGTAATCCCGATGTGGAAAGATGGAGTTGATCAGTCACCGG